TGTCCCCCCTCCCCCCGCTGGCTGGGCTGCTGTCCCGTCCTGGAATGGCCCACAAAAGCCAACCAACCCGGCTGCCCTCCGCCCGCCCGCCCCGGCCGGGAGACACGCCCCGCGGGACAAACGTGTCCCCCGCGTGTGATGCGCACGTGGGGGTCCCGCGCTCACCTGTCATCCTCCTGGGGGGTCGTCCGGGGCGGAGAGGGGCCTCGCTGGCAACGGTCAAAGTCCCGCTTCCCGGCCGCGGGGGGCGCAGGCCTGACAACACGGCCACGACAGAGAGGGGCGCCGGGGGGTGGGGTGGGCACGGCCAGCGCCCTGCACTGGGCACGCGAGCGACGCCGACGGGGTCCCGCGGCCCCGCGCAGCGCAGCGGCCCAGCACCCAGCGGGGACCCGGCGAGCGGCGGAGGGGCGGGGCCGGTGGGCTGTGCCCGCCCAGGGGGCGTGTCCAAGGGCAGCGATAGGACGCGGCGGCCGGTGGGCGGGGATGTGGGCGGGGCCAGCGAGGGGCGGGCGGGGCCTCGGCGCAGGCGCTCCTCAGCATCCTCATCCCGGACAAAGCGGGCGCCGTCGCCGCCGAAGTCGGCCGCCCGCGGTGCTGATGCTGCGCGTGAGCCCAGGCCCGAGGCGGTGGGTCCTACTCAGCCGCAGCCGCCCCGGGAGCGGCCAGCGGGCGCCTTGGCTGCGGGAAAGCCTTTGCTCCCGAGCTGAACCTCTGTGGGCATCAGAAAGGCCACTCTGCACAAAGGTCTTCTAAAAACAGCGGCGTGTGCAACATTCCGCGCCCACAGCTGCAGCTGCAGTTGCGTCCGACTCCGGGCACGTCTCGGAAGCCTTTGGAAGTGCAGCAGATGTCGGAGTGGGCCCGAGCGCTGCTGGTCTCAGTAAACACCCCAGAGTTCCCACTGGAGAAAGGGCCCGTGCGTGTAGGGGGTGTGGGAACGCCCAGCTCCTGCCGGGAGGAATCCCAGAGAGGTACCGGAGTCCAGCAAAAAGCAGAAAGGCGTCTGCTGAGCTGAGCTGAGCTGCTGAGCCCCAGAAAGCCCCTCCCCGTGCAGAAAGTTCCAGTATAGGCCGCAAGAGCTCTGCCGCGCTCAGACACACAATCCGTTAAACAGAGAAAGGCGTTTCAAAGCTAAAGGCCCGGTGGACTGACTGTCTCCTCCCTCCCCCACACCGAGGCTGCAGCTGCCCAAGTTGCACCCCTGAAGTCACTTTTTGCAGTGTTCCCCTGGAAGAAGAGGCCGCTGGAAGCCAGCACTAGACACCCCTTCCTTTCTCCCAAGTGACTGCGTGTTTTTCTCACCCGTTGCTTCTGCCTTGCCCCTCATGTTAAGGAATGTCCCTAAGGAGTCGGAACAATAGCACAGCGGGTGTAGTGCTTACACACGACCCATCCTGATTCTTCCCTGGCACCACCTATGGGCCCCAACACAGCCAGGAGTGATCTCTGAGCGCAGAGCCAGGAGTAATCCCTGAGCTCAGAGCCAGGAGTTAGTCCTCAAGAACCACTCCCAGAAAGAAAAAAAGAGCAAGAAAGAGAGAAAATAAACAGAGAGAGAGAAAGAAAGAAGGAGAAGGAAGAAGAAGAAGAAGAAGAAGAAGAAGAAGAAGAAGAAGAAGAAGAAGAAGAAGAAGAAGAAGGAGAAGAAGAAGGAGAAGAAGAAGGAGAAGAAGGAGAAGAAGGAGAAGAAGGAGAAGAAGGAGAAGAAGAAGAAGGAGAAGAAGAAGGAGAAGAAGGAGAAGAAAAGGAGGAGGAGGAGGAAGAAGAAGAAGAAACAAATGTCCTGAGCCTGAGTGGTCAGTGTTGACCTACAGGGCAGCTGTCCAGGAGAGGCCAGAGTAAGCAGCAGGACTAGCCCGGTGGCTGTGCTCAGACCATCCCAGGCATGCCCATGCTCTGCGATGCTTCAGGTGGAATCTGGCCGGAGCTCCAGAAACTCCAAATCCATGACCACACAGTCTCCGGCCTTCCTGTACTGTGCTTCTAGACGCTTCCTGCTGTGCTTTATAAGCTCTAAGGCCCAGCCTGAGAGTACATAAATTTGGTGAACAAGGCTACCTAGTCCCAGGCTGCCAGTACCTAACTCAGCCTGGTTTGGGTTTGTTTATTGGGGGAGGAGGGAACACCCGGCAGTGCTCAGGGCTTCCTCCTCGCTCTGTGCTCAGGAGTCACTCCTGGCAGTGCTCAAGGGACCATATCGGATGCCGGGGATCAAACCCCGGTTGGCTGCGTGCCAGGCAAACGCCCTCCCCGCTGTATGCCTCATCCTCCAGCCCTCGGCCTGTTTTTTTCTTGTAGCAACTATCCTCTCTCGAAACAAACACCCAGACTTGGGACCCAAGTGATCCAAGAATTTTCCATTTCCCAACGGTATACACGTTTTCCAGGCCTGGAGCTATCTCCTGTATCCTTATTGGGTTTCTTCCCGCCAATAAAAAAATCTTTCATTCCACACAGCTCTTCAGAGCACCTTCCTACTGGCTAGGTAAAATGTTGCCTGTTTCATGAATTGTTGAATTTGAATTTTTAAATTAAACTGAATTAACTTGTTTAGTCTCAGACCACACCTGGCTTGTTCCTGGCTCAGCCCTCAGGGATGACTCCTGGTGTCATGCCAGGGATGGGAACGTTCGGCTTCAGGCAATGCCAGTGCCTTACCCTTGTACCACCTCTGTGACCCGGCATCTACATTTGAATCTCATTGTTACAGCACATGTCTAACATGTATGATAACTTGGCTCGCCAACCCCCAATTACATTATGTTAAATGCAAAAGGTTGAATTTTGCAATATCATTGCCAAATACTTGTTACTTATTTTGACATATGCAGACATAGCAATCAAATATTCCCCAGGTGAAAAAATACAGAATAATGAAGTATTTTGGAAGAGGTAAATTTCACTTTAAAACAAAACCAAAAAGATTGGGATAAGTATGTACATTTATCTCAAAGTATTTTCACATTGGCCAACAGTTGAAACCTGGCTTCTAGAAAAAGTTTCCTACAGTTCATTGACTCTTTGTCTCGGTGTTCCCAGTTGTCAGCTACAAGTTGGAAAGTCTGGATACCAGATGCACAGTTGGATTTTAAAAAAATCAGCGGGCACAGACAAGAGAGCTCAGGTTCCCAAGAAGTGGAGAGAAGAAGACAAGACAGAGTGATATAAAAACAAAGGAGCTTAAACCTTACTTTATTGAAGTGATTTTATGAACAGTAAGATGTCATTTTAGTCTACTGTCCTTTAACAGACATTTAAAAACAATGGCCAACAGCCACACGTGCTAGGTGAAAAGGAAGCTCAGATGGAGAAGAGAGCACCAAATAAAGGGTGTTGTGAGGACCCTCCCAGAGTGGGAGAAGCATGCTAAAAGTAGTCTATAGACCAAACATGATTGCCACTCAATGCCTCTCTTGCAAAACACAGGACCCAAAAGAAGAGAGAGAGAACAAGGGGGAATGCCCTGCCACAGAGGCAGGGTGGGATAGGGGGGGATGGGGGGTGGGGGGATGCTGGGACCCGTGGTGGTGGAGGATGGGCGCTGGTGGAGGGATGGGTACTTGATCATTGTATAACTGAAACCCAAGCACAAAAATTTATAAGTCTATAACTGTACCTCATGGTGTTTCACTAATAAAAAAAATTTAAAAAAAAAAGAAAAAAAAGAAAAAAAAAACAAAAAAAAAAACAATGGCTAAGAAGCAATTCTACCACAGGGGCTGGAGCAATAGCACAGCAGGTAGGGCATTTGCCTTGCATGCGGCTGACCCAGGTTCGATTCCCAGCATCCCATATGTTCCCACGAGCACTGCCAGGGGAGAGATTTCTGAGTGCATGAACCAGGAGTAACTACTGAGCATCGCTGGGTGTGACCCAAAAAAGCAAAGGAAAAAAAAAAAAGAAGCAATTCCACCAATCGACTACAGGGAGTGCTCCCTACCTAAGTAGCACTCTGCTGACTTGTAAAACATCTGGACACTAGAACATTTTGGTAGAAATTAGATTACGTTGGGACACACCCAAACTCTGTGCTGGAATCTAATGGCCAATGAGTCATCGTTGGAGTCAGAACACTCAGTTTTTGTGGCCATCATTGGACCACTTCACCCACCGAACAGCCAATGAGAACTGTGGGATCAGGAGGCCAAAACAACGGACCATTGATTTGCATCGTCACTGCTGATTTGCAAAGGCAGGACTTAGTTTTGCTTAAGCCATTCAGACAAGTGACTCTAATAAATTAAATGTAATCCAACCAAAATTTTGTCACTTCGCAGATGCCGATATGGGAGGGAAAAAGGAGCTCAAGGTAAATTCATGTTGAGATGTTTAGTGCTGAATTTTAGGCAGATCCTCCACCAACCCTGCCTCAAAGAATATTTTTCCACCATTAGCATGAAAGAAAAGATTTGTTCGTTCTTAAAGAAAATAAAATGTCAGGTCTGATATTGAAGAGTTCGTCTAGCCCTACTCATTCTCTGCCAAGGTTCCTTTAAAAAATCAAATTACACTTAGAAAAAATCTTTTTCCCTAGATTACGTGCTAATAATTATTCAAGTAATTCTTTAAAGCATTGGAACGTGGAAAAAGTTCACAACAGAGAGTGGGATCAGCTACATGCAAGGCAGAACCTCATCCCCTGCAACTCTCTCACTTGGCATCTTCTTCTTCTTCTTTTTTTCTTTCTTTTTTGGGACACACCCAGCAATGCTCAGGGGTTCCTCCTGGCTCTGCACTCAGGAATTACTCCTGGCGGTGCTCAAGGGACCATAATGGATGCTGGGAATCGAACCTGGGTCGGCCGCGTGCAAGGCAAACGCCCTCCCCGCTGTGCTATTGCTCCAGCCCCGCGGCATCTTCTTTTTAATCTAGAAGGGATTTAGAAATTTAGACAGAACTATATTAAGTGTAAGAACATCTTATCGAATAAACACTGGCAAATTCTACCAACATGTTTTAGATGGACAGGCTGCACATAAATGAAAGGCAAACATAAATCAGAGTTGAGTGAAGTTTATTTACATTAATATAATTTACCATAACAATACCCACATGGTAATAACCATATGGCAAATTCACAGTCATTGCACTAAGTTTACTTCGAACAGTCCATTCTTCATGACTATTTGCATAACTCCCAGGAAGATTTAGAAGCCTAACAGATGCATGCTCCTTTAATAAGTCATAATAAAACACGGATGACTTCAACACAGTGGTTTAAAAAATAATACCGCTCTTCTTTCTGTTTTTGCCAGCGGTGACAGTTTCAGGGTCTTCAGGTGAAAAAGCCCCCGTCAGACTTTAGGCTACACTCTACCAACTCTTTTGTTCAGCCTGCCAATCCATCTCAATCCACCTGCCACCCCCGCCCCACAACCACAGGGTGACAAATCACAGCAATTAGAGGCGACCCATTACCCCATGCTCCAGGGACCATTGGTGGTAGAGACTGAACCCGTCAGGTTTTCATCCTTTGAGCAATATTCCTGGGGTTAAAAAAAAAATTCTTAATTTTGCAGTGCTAAATTTTGCTAATTTCCAGAAGCTCACAAATCCAAGGTAAGTGCTCGACCACGAAGCTGCATCCCTGATTCCTGCTTCACTGATTTTTGTGGGGGCGGGGAGGGATTTGGGGCCACACCTGGCAGTGCTCAGGGCTGACTCCTGGCTCTATGCTCAGTGATCGCACCTGGCAGGGCTCAGGGGACGATGGACGGTGTCCGGGATTCGAGCCGAGGTCAGAAGCATGTGACCCTACCTACCTGTTACCCTCACCCTGGCCTCCGTCAGTGGTTCTTCAAACACTTAAGTCCACAACATCACTCATCATTTCCCACCCTCCATTTTTTTTTCTTTTTGGGTCACACCTGGCGATGCACTGGGGTTACTCCTGGCGGTGCTCAGGGGACCATATGGGATGCTGGGAATTGAACCCGGGTTGGCAAACGCCCTACCCGCTGTGCTATCTCTCCAGCCCCCCACCCTCCATTTTTAAAGCAAGAGGAAAAGTGTTAGGAAAATAGAACCAAAAGGAAACCTATATCCACAGATGGACATTTTATACTTTAGATTTACCTACTGGTGACTGGAGAATTATTTCGCTTTTGTTTTGGGGCCACACCCGATAGTACTCAGGGCTTACTCCAGGCTCAGGACTCAGAAATTACTCTAGTGGGGGCTTGGGAGAACGCGATATAGCACTGGGGATACAATACAGTTGGCTGTGTGTAAGGCAAGAGCCCCGCCCGCTATATGGTCATTCTGTCCCCACTTGGGAAATCTCTAAGCTCCTAAATACAGGTTATTAGTATCTGTATCTGTCTCCTTCTCTCTTTCTCCCTCTCCCTTTCTCTCTCTCCCTCCCTCCCTCTCTTTCGGCAGTGGTGGTAGGGTGTTTTGGGGAACCCCTGTCATATGTCTTCACCCCCAGGTTCTGTATTCTAGGTGATTATATTCTCTCCTGTTCTATTTCTCTCTCACCAAACTTCTTAGAAACAAAAACAAGAACCTGAAACTGTTTCCTTTTTTCCTCCCAAAGGATAATTCTTTATTAATACAGGCAGGAAAACTCAAGGTTTCTCTTCTTCCACTCCCCAAAAAGGCAAGGAGAAAATATGCATTGTTTAGATTGGTCCCTTTCTTCCTAAGAAGCCTTTAAATAAAACTTAAAGAAAATAACCAACTCCTGATAACAGAGTTTTAAGGTACACTATACCATTTTTGTTTTTCTTGTTTTCTACAACAAAACGGTGTTAACATTCTTAACGGTGTTTTTCTCCCATCCTGTTACTCCAGATACTCTGCACACCACTAGGCAGCAACAGTGTAGTTTCAACACTCTTGTCCAGTTTTTGGGTTTGATTCTTCCTCCCAGTCTTTGCATCTATTTCTTCATTTGCCAATAGTCAAAGGTTCTTCTCAATTATTAAACTGCTTTACGGGATGGAGGACAAGCTTTGCACTCCCGAGACCTGCATGAGATTCCCAGCACTTCAAAAAACCAGACACACAAAAAGCCTCATTTTTGTCAAGAGTCCTTCGGGATAAGCATCAATAATTTACAGTTAACTGGTGGAAGCATCCATACAGTGCCATTCCTTCTGATTTTCTTTTACTCTAAAATACATCTGTATCTACACTCACGCATACAGCAAGTTCATACCATCTGTAGAAATAAACTGCATTGATAATTCCAAGCACACAGCTAGAGATTCACATTTTAACACCCGACATACAGGCAGATAAAAAAAGCACAATTTTACACTCCCGATTCACAGCAGGCTGAAATATAGAATTTGTTCTAGATTTATTCCTTGTTATGAGACTTAGAAACAGTCAAACGATGACAATGATAGCTGTCGCCTCATCACTTGATATTACTTTACAAACACCCCAACTTGCTGATGCCATCACAGAAAGTGATATGGACATACTATATACAAAACAAACAAAAAAAAAAGAGTTAGCCATCATGGAGGAAACTGTATACAAAGCACTTGGCAACATCAGCATTTAACTTTGTCTAGCACTGACACTTAGGCTCAGTACCTTTTCTGACATAAAAGAACAGGCACATCTCTACAGTTTCTTAGTTACCGAAAGGAATAAATTTGGGATAGAGATCATAAGATTGTGACGGCTGGAATACATAGTGCATTTTGCTTTTTTTTTTTTTCCCCTTCGGCTTTTTTTGTGGGGGTTACATTCAATGATGCTCAGGGCTTACTCTTGGCTCTGTGCTCAGGAATCACTCCTAATAGTGCTCTGGGGACCTTATGGGATGCTGGGGGTGGAACCCGGGTCGGCTATGCGCAAGGCAAGCCCCCTCCCCGCTGTTCTATTGCTCCGTACATCCCAACAGTGCATTTTCCTAAAGAGGCTTATGACTCAGTCATGCCATGTTATCTGTATTCAATCCTTTTACACCATTATATTTCATTATATTTACCACTGACTAGTCCAGAATCCAAAATACAGAAAATTTGGGTTTTAGATTTACGCTGAGGCACAATTATTAAAAACAAACCCTTGTAGCTAGCACACTGAGTAGTCATCGAAATACTGATGAGTTTCGACAAATCTGAAGGCAGGAACTATTCATATATATGAGTGAAGAAATAAATGACCAACAGTAACCCAGAGCTGCCTAAGAGTTTTGAAAAGGAGAAACTTAACACCCGGCAGGTGTATCAAAACCGCTTTTTCATGAGCTTCCTCAACTAGAATTACACGCATACACTGAGTGTGTTCAGTGGAACATAAATACGAAGCGGGTGAAGTAGCTACTGAGGGGACACTGACTTGGATTTGATCGAGGGAGTCATGAGGTGGCTCTGGCACGGTGGACAGTGGAACGAATCAGTGACTTGCCGGTGGAGAAACTGCAAACTCCAGGTGAAGCAACTGCCGTCAGGCCCACCGTCCGCTGGAAGCGAAGCTTCTGCTGAAGGAGAAGTTGACCTCAGAGTTCTTGTACTTGCCCCATGCGCCGAAAGGCACCACCACGGCCGTGCTGTTGTCTTCAGTGCCGTACTGGATGGCCTGGGAGGGGGGCAGGGAGAGAGCAGAGCACTGCAGGTGAGCGGAAGGGCGGGCCAAAGGAGCGGCGAGAAAGGCCTCTAAGCACAGTCTGAGAAAGGAAGTGAAAGTATATATATATTTGCAATGTGGAATATGCTTTGTAGGAAGTTCTTGGGATACCCATGATGAGGAGTGTGGAATATAGCACTGCACTGTCCTCCCGTTGTTCATCAATTTGCTCAAGCGGGCACCAGTAACGTCTCCATTGTGAGACTTGTTGTTATTGTGTTTGGCATCTCGAATACGCCACGGGGAGCTTGCCAGGCTTTGCCGTATGGGCGAGATGCTCTCGGTAGCTTGCTGGGCTCGCTGAGAGGGTGGAGGAATTGAACTCGGGTCAGATGGGTTGGCCACATGCAAGGCAAACGCCCTACCCACTGGGCTATCGCTCCAGCCCATGGAATATGTACATATATATATATATATTATTTAGCTGGAGTGATAGCACAGAGGTAGGGCGTTTGCCTTGTACGCAGCCAACCTGGCCGACCCGAGTTCGATTCCTCCGCCCCTCTCGGAGAGCCCGGCAAGCTACCGAGAGTATTCGATATGCCAGACACAGTAACAACGAAGTCTCCAATGGAGACGTTACTGGGCCCGCTCGAGCAAATCGATGATCAACGGGAGGGCCTTTACTTTACTTTAATTATTTATACATATTTGCAATGTGGTTCGTAGGAAGTTCTTGGGATACCCATGAAGAACAGGAGTGTGGGGAAGGTCAAACACACATGCCCAGCAGACCCGCTGGCACCAGCCATGGGGCTTCTTACCTGGCGGGTGTGGGTCTGGGTTTGGTTCAATCAAACAAGCGAATGCAAACGACTCGTAAAACTGTGCAAATGATCATTTCGCTTCACTCACAACAAAAAGGGGTAAATTCAAACTCTAAAATTTTCTTTTTTGCTACGGGAGGACCAGGGGGTGGGTTGGGATACCCCGGCTGCACCCAGGGGTCACTCCTGGCAGGACCTGGGGGCCATAAGCAGGCCAGGCGCAAGGCAAGCACCTTAATCTCTGCACTCTCACTTGGGTCCGAAAATTTCAGTTTCTAGTCACCAAACTGAGCGGAATTTAGAGAAACACACTATCGTGGCGATGCTACTGAAGAGTAGAAATCACTTCTGTCTACTTGGTCTGAATTAGATTCACAACCTAATTATGAAATTCACAGCCCTACACTTGGGGTTGCCTGCACTCCAACGTGGGGTGTCACAGAACTTCCTGGGTGTCTCTCTTCTCGCTGTCCTGCTGTCTCGATATATCCCCCCTCTGTCGCTTCGCCATCTTCTCCAGAACTGCCTTAACTGCAATCGCAGATCTTGTCTGCTGGAGAGGGCGGGTGGGGCAGTCTCAGGCTGATGTTCCTCTTCCTGCAGGGAGCATCACCAGGCCTCAGGCTGAGAAGCACCATCTGGCAGGTGGCAGGAAGCCGACCTCACGCCTGCGCCTGCTTCCCAGAACTCCTAGGGTGCAGGTACGGTCCCGGGGTCCCGCCTTCGGGGGCAGCATCCCCGCAGTGAGGGGCACGGGCAGATTTCTGAGCATGGAACTCCAGATGCTTCCCCGCCAAAGTCACAGCAAGGTGAGAGCTAGCTGGGGGTGTTGGGGAGGGGGGAGGAGACTAGCACAGCCCCTGCCCCTGGCGTGCCCCTAGGCCCCCACCAGCAACACCGGTCTTTCACGGGTGTGCGTGAAGAAGTGTGCAGTTCACAAATAAATGCTGGTGGTACAAAACACAAAAAAATGATAATTACCACAAATAAAACATATATATATATCCAGAAAAATTATGAATGCAAAAATTGACCCATGAAATTTTATTACAGTGCCACTCTAATTATCAAGCTACCGAGAGTATTCGATATGCCAGACACAGTAACAACAAAGTCTCCAATGGAGACGTTACTGGGCCCGCTCGAGCAAATTTGCTGATGAGGGGAACTATTCGATGAAATATAATGTGCAAACACGGCAGCCTACTATGCTCTCATTACAAATATCACTGCAGTGCAGCACCGTAGCCCTATAACACTGTCAGAGGCACTGGCACACAATCACGTTGCTCATCGATTTGTTCGAGCGGGTACCAGTCACACCCCCATCATGAGACTTCTTGTGACTGTGTTTGGCATCTCGAATACGCCACGGGGAGCTTGCCAGGCTCTGCTATGGGGTGGGATACTCTCGGTAGCTTGCCGGGCTCTTCGAGAGGGGCGGAGGAATCGAACCCAGGTCGGCCATGTGCAAGGCAAATGCACTACCCGCTGTGCTATCGCTCCAGCCCACAAATATCACTCACAATTTAGAGGGAACATTTAAGAGAGAAGGAATTAAAATTTGAAAGAAACATTCATTGGACTGGGTCGAATTTTTAATGTCAAGAGCTTGATATTAGTCCAGTGAATAATTCACGCTTGCCTGACAATTAGCGACAACTAATGCTCTCTTTTTCATCTGTTTTTGGGCCACACCTAGCAGTGCTCAGGGCTTACTCCTGGCTCTGCACTCCACGACCACTTCTGGCAAGCTCAGGGGACTGTATGGGGCCTCAGGGATGGACCCTGGGTTGGCCGTAGAAGACAAAGGCCCTATGCACTGTACCATCTCTCCAGCCGTAAGCAAATCATGCTTTTCACTGAAAGATCTGATGTATTAATTACAAATACTATCCCTTAAAGGCTTGGGCAACATTTTGACTCCCCAAACATAAAAATTGGGAAATGCAAAAAGTAACTGTTGAAATAAAACAAGTCTCTAATGATCAATGATGGCTCTAACTTGAGAGTTTGCTAGCTTAAAGGACGATTAAACACTGAAAATTTCACATTTTCTTGGACTGTCCAGCTACCAAGTTTTAACACTGCCAGAGACATTGGCACACAATCATTTTTTTTTCCTTTTTGGGTCACACCCAGCGATGCTCAGGGGTTCCTCCTGGCTCTGCACTCAGGAATTACTCCTGGCGGTGCTTGGGGGACCCTATGGGATGCTGGGAATTGAACCCGGGTCTAGCCATGTGCATGGCAAAAGCCCTCCCTGCTGTGCTATCGCTCCAGCCCCCAGGCACACAATCTTTTTTTTTTTTTTTATTCCGCCCACACCTATTTCTCAAAATCAAAAGCTGACGACACTACAGTGCTCTGATCTATGATATTTACTGGGAGAGTAAGAGTTTCTCAGTCAAGTGGTTAGACTTGGGAGCTTGCCTGTCAGTCTGAAGTCCAGCTTTGCAATCTTGAATAAATCACCTCCTCTTTTTGGCCTCTTGTGCCTCAGTTTGCCTCGTCTATGAAAAGGGCTGATGCTGACGCTAAGCACAGAGTATCGTGGAAGATCACCTGGAGTTCAGATAGATGAATCGGAGCGTGTGTGGCACATCATATGAGTACCACGGGGAGGGGTGGTTTGGGCCACACCTGGAGGTGCCCATGGGCGTTCCTCGGCTCAGTGCTTAGGACTGACCCGAGAGGTGCTCAGAAAACCTGGAATGGTGCTGGGATGGAACCGTGCCTGAGCAATTCATTTTGTTCTGCCCCCTTCCTGTTTACTAGTACCACAATTCACCATCATTGGAATGAGCATTTCAAGATGCACACAAAACCCAGAGATAAACAGCCCGTTACCGTAGCCAACTCAATTCACTTAACTACTTGGGGGAACTGCAGAAAAACCCTAAAATCAGAATTATTATGGAATCAGGGGAAAATTTCACTGTGGTGTAGAAGTTCCATGACAAGATTTTTCTAAGAAGCGTCAAGTTCCTGGGGGTCCCCCGGCTGAGACGCGCCCCTGGTGCTGCGCTCACCCCCATCCCAGGCCCCTGGCCCGGCCCTGGGCACCCACCTGCTCAGTGACTGCCCGGGCTGCTTCGTTGGGGTCGTGGCACTGGTTGACAAAGTCGCAAATCTCCTGACTGTTCACCATGAAGTTGATCCCATCTGTCGTGAGGACCAGGAAGCTGTCGTCAGCGTGATGAAGCTGCAATGACACCCACCGCAGAGAATCACACACTGGGGACCCCGACGCTGCCTTCTGCGTTTGGGAGGGGGCGGGCAGCGGTGACACGGGAAAGGCCAGACTTAGGCTAAAGCAGCAGCGTGCGGTCCTGATGGCCCAACCTGACGCTCCTTAGTGACCAACACGCAAGAGGTTGGACGGGGGCTGGAGCGATAGCACAGAGGGGAGGGCGTTTGCCTTGTACACTGCGGACTCGGGTTCGATCCCTAGCATCCCGTATGGTCCCCCGAGCACTGCCAGGGGTAATTCCTGAGTGAAGAGCCAGGAGGAACTCCTGAGCATCGCCGGGTGTGACCCAAAAACACACACAAAAAAAAAGGAAATTGGACAGTGGGGGCAGAGCAGCGGGGAGGAGGGGTGGTGGGCTGCCCGACGGGCTCCTGGGGGCTCCTGACACATTTCTCAGCAATGCAAGCAGAGGGAAGGAGGCCCTCATGTGACGAGGTCTCTTTTCCCTTGTTTTTTTCAGGGGGTGGAGGTGGGGCTTAGAGGTCACACCCGGCAATGCTCAGGGGTTCCTCCTGGCTCGGCACTCAAGAATCACTCCTGGCGGTGCTCGGGGGACCATACAGGATGCCGGGGATCGAACCCAGGTCGGCCAGAGACAAGGCAAGAGCCCTCCCAGCTGTCCTAGGGCTCCAGATTTTGTTTTCTCTGAGAAAGGGGGGCAAGGCCTTTTTGGAACAGAGTCTGGTGCAGAGTAGACCCTCTGGGGATACTTATTAGATGGGATGGGTTCTTTTTTCTTTTTTTTTTAATTAGTGAATCACCGTGAAGTACAGTTACAAACTTACGAACTTTCGTATTTCAGTCACACAATAATTGTTTACCGAGATGGGTTCTTTCATTTAGTCTTTGGCTTTTGGGTCACACTCAGAAATCACTCCTGGGACGCCGGGGATCGAACCTGGGTTGGCTGGGTTCAAAGGCAAGTGCCCTCCCCGCTGTGCTACGGCTCCAGCCCTGCGCCCTCGGAGTGGGTAAGACGTCATTCTGATGTCCAGTGGTCGCTGTGATTAGAGACTGCCTAGCAGTGGGTGCTGGGGAAGGCCGCAGACAGGGATGTGCTCACAACTCTGCGTGTGTGTGTTGGGGGTGTCGTGCAATGGGGTCCACGTTGTGGGTGTCTCAGGGGTGACCTTGTAGTCTGGCGCCAAGGGGAAGTCAGAGTGGGCTTCCCAGTGGAGGTGGTGCCAGCTGCCCGGGTACCATGAGTAAGTGGGGAGTGGGGTGGGGGTGGCAGTGCCCTGCCAACCCCGGTGGCCCCGACACCAGGGCGCTTGCCCTCCCGCCCACGGCCAGGGCAGACCTGCGCCGCCCTCAGGGCCCCCCACAGCGGCTGCGTCCCGCCCACCTTGATCCGCTTGGTCTCGGGCTCCGCGATCACGCCACTAGCCTTCAGGTCCAGGTCCCCGAGGCTCCTGGTCATGGCGAGGCGCCCATTGACGTGCGGCTGCCCCAGGCTGTTCCAGGCCACAAAGCCGCCGTGCTTCTTGATCCTGCATGGCACAAGGGCAGAGGGTGACGGGAGCCGGGAAGATAAGGTCCACCCACTTAACAGAACTCAGGGCTCCCGGGGAGCCCAGATGCTGGGTGGGGACAGGACCCGAGTGCTCCCCCCAGGGGATAGGGGAGCCGGGCTGATTTCCTCTTGCTGTCGTGGTCTTCTCAGGACACAGTTCCAGGAACAAGATTACAAGAGCGTGCGTTTGCTTGGTCAAGAAGAAAGGGGAAGGGAGCTCTCTGATGAGGTCCCCTCCCCTCCCTGCAAGCCACAGGGACACGGGCCCCTGGAAAGCCCCAGCACACGAGGTGACGCCAGCAGCACCGCCTGGGGGGGGGGGGGGGAATCCCGGCACCTCAGAGGGAGGCCTCTGCCTGCAGCAGCTTCCGTGCAAGCCCGGCTCACCGTGACCAGAAACAAGCAAAGGGAAGAGGGAAAGGAAAGGCGGGAGGATGAAGGAACAACGGGTAGGAGGGAGGGGCTGACTCGCTGGCAGGGCCGGGATCCACCTGGGCTCCCCTATGGTCCCCTGCGACGACACCCAAAAGAAGGTAGGAAGGGAGAACGAAATGAATTTGTTAAAGAAAAAAGGAAGCCAAGGCAGTTGGGATTAGCTGGAAAAGCCACCGTCAGGGCCCGAGAGACAGTGCCAAGGGCGGATGTGTCCACACGCCGGAATGCATGGGGGCATCCCACGATGGGGCCCCGGAACTGGGAAGGAAACGAACTGGATTCTTTTCTCGCTTTTTCCCTTCTGGGGTCACACCCAGCATGTCAGGGCTTACTCCTGGCTCTGCATTCAGGAATCACTCCTGGCGGTGCTCCAGGCACTATCTGGGATGCTGGAATGGAACCCAGTCAGCGGAGCGCAAGGCAAACGCCCTCCCTGCCGCACCACTACTCCTGCCCCTCTTTTTCCTTTTTTTGGGTTTTGGGCCCCACCAGGTGGTGCAGGGCTTACTCCTGACTCTGAGTTCCAGGGTTACTCCTGGAGGGCTCGGGAGACCATCTCTAGCACACAACACCAGCAGCCCCGCGGGCTCCAACCCAGCATCCATGAGCATCGCTCCTGTTCTGGTCCCCGAGAACGAGCATTCTCCTGTTCTGCTGCCCGTGCGCATGTGCATCTGCCTGTTCCGGTCCCCGCTTGCACGAGCATCTCCTGTTCTGATCCCCGCGGGCACGAGCATCCTCCTGTTCCGGTCCCCGAGAACAAGCATCCTCCTGTCTGCTGCCCGCGCACATGTGCGTCTGCCTGTTCCGGCCCCCGCGCGCACGAGCATCTCCTGTTCTGGTCCCCCTCCCCGCGCACACGAGCATCCTCCTGTTCCCGTCCCCGCGCGCACGAGCATCCTCCTGTTCTGGTCCCCGAGAACGAGCATCCTCCTGTTCTGGTCCCCGAGAAGGAGCATCCTCCTGTTCTGGTCCCCGAGAACGAGCATCCTCCTGTTCTGGTCCCCGAGAAGGAGCATCCTCCTGTTCTGGTCCCCGAGAACGAGCATCCTCCTGTTCTGCTGCCCGCGCGCACGTGCATCTGGCGGTTCTGCTGCCCGCGCGCACGAGCATCCTCCTGTTCCGGCCCCCGCGCGCACGAGCATCTCCTGTTCTGATCCCCGCGTGCACGAGCATCCTCCTGTTCTGGTCCCCGAGAACAAGCATCCTCCTGTCTGCTGCCCGCGCACATGTGCATCTGCCTGTTCCTGTCCCCGCGCGCACGAGCATCTCCTGTTCTGGTCCCCCTCCCCGCGCACACGAGCATCCTCCTGTTCCCGTCCCCGTGCGCACGAGCATCCTCCTGTTCTGGTCCCCGAGAACGAGCATCCTCCTGTTCTGGTCCCCGAGAACGAGCATCCTCCTGTTCTGGTCCCCGAGAAGGAGCATCCTCCTGTTCTGGTCCCCGAGAACGAGCATCCTCCTGTTCTGGTCCCCGAGAAGGAGCATCCTCCTGTTCTGGTCCCCGAGAACGAGCATCCTCCTGTTCTGCTGCCCGCGCGCACGTGCATCTGGCGGTTCTGCTGCCCGCGCGCACGAGCATCCTCCTGTTCCGGCCCCCGCGCGCACGAGCATCTCCTGTTCTGATCCCCGCGTGCACGAGCATCCTCCTGTTCTGGTCCCCGAGAACAAGCATCCTCCTGTCTGCTGCCCGCGCACATGTGCATCTGCCTGTTCCTGTCCCCGCGCGCACGAGCATCTCCTGTTCTGGTCCCCCTCCCCGCGCACACGAGCATCCTCCTGTTCCCGTCCCCGTGCGCACGAGCATCCTCCTGTTCTGGTCCCCGAGAACGAGCATCCTCCTGTTCTGGTCCCCGAGAACGAGCATCCTCCTGTTCTGGTCCCCGAGAACGAGCATCCTCCTGTTCTGGTCCCCGAGAACCGAGAACGAGCATCCTCCTGTTCTGGTCCCCGAGAACAAGCATCCTCCTGTTCTGCTGCCCGCGTGCACGTGCATCTGCCGGTTCTGCTGCCCGCGCGCACGAGCATCTCCTGTTCTGGTCCCCTCCGGCTGCGCACCAGCATCCTGTCCTGGTCCCCGCCTGGCACAAGCGTCGCTCCTGTTCTGGCTGGTCCGCAAGGCCAGGGCTGTGCCCTCCTGACTGCGGCGGTGGCCCCCCGACGTACCTTTCTTTCTCGTCTTTTCTCTCCGGGGTATGGTCAATAGTCAGCTTCACCGCCTTTCCTTTTCGGCACAAAATCGCCCGGCTGTCCCCAACACTGGCTACCACCAGCTCGATGCCGTCCCGCAACAGGGCGACCGTCGCCGTGGTCCCAGAGGTCAGCAGGGTGGCTGGAAGGTGACGAAAGGTGCGTGTCAGTGGCTGTCCGAGTGACACAGCCACGTTCAACTAATGCGGAACGCGTGGCTCTAAGTCAAGGAGAGCGAGGCAAGATAAGGTTGCAGATGAGATGTGTGAGTAAAAGCATGCAGAGGAAGAAGCATCTGACTCAGCAACAAGGCTCCGTGCAAACCCCAGAAGCTGCCAACGGGATGATTCTTAACAAGGAGACAAAGAGCCTGGCGGTTCCCAGCGCCTCCAGTGACCCCCTAGTACAACTGGCTGGAACTGAACACGATGCCACTGGCCTTTGGGCACTAGGTGTCATGATGGGAAGAATTATGCTTTAATGAGATTGGCTAATACGGCGAGAGAAGTGGGCCAATTAAGACCACTCGGACCTGCTGACTTGTTCTGTTTGAGGGATTTAAATTTCTCTCCTTCCACAATGATTCCTACGAAAGCCTCGGGCCAGGGCAACCAGCGCATAACATCTGCACTTCAGGTGCGATATTTTATATTTACTCTTTCCCATTTATCTTTGTCTTCCCCTGACATGAAACAAAGTTTTAGCCATCACAGTACCAATGCAGTATTGGGCGTGCCAGGGAATGAAATCCATCCCAGTTCCCCACAAGCCGGGGCAGTTCCCTGAAGGAGGATTCGAGATCATATGCCTGCTGGGAACTAAAGGGCAGCTCTGCTCCCTGGACATTCTAGGGAACAGGGTTTCTTGGAACCGACAACAAATAGGTTCTCAGTTGGACTTGGCTGGAAGCTGCCTTTTCCCGTAGCCAATTCAAAGTGCACTTGTGCGTCCTTCTTGTATTCATTCTAACACTGTCGGCCTGAGTTCTGGCTCACTGTTATTCTGAGTTCTGGAGGTGCATTGAGCCTTGCCCAAAGGAGGAGAGTATGAAATTAAGGGCTAGAAAAAGGAAAGTGGACTGGAAGGAATGGAAAAAGACAGCATATTTAAAGCAGGTATTATATCTGGAATCATGGCGATTATTTAAAAGAATTCAATACAACATTGAGGTGATCATCCAAAGATAATTTTAGCTTCAAAGATAGATTCAGGACAAATGAAGTCCTATTGATTTTTTCAAAGAGACTATTTAAAATATCTCATCAGTAATACATTTTGAGTATATGTGTATACATATATTCCAATCAGTATATTAAAATGCCTGCTTTAATCGGGAAAGTCCAATAGGAAAACGCAAATGGATCCTACTTTTTAAATTCATGCCAAATGATTTTATTGAGAAATAGCATCTCTAGTTGCACTATCTTTCTTTCCATTTATCTCTTGATTTTGGAACTGACGTGCCCCAGTAATAAAAATAGCTTGGCAATGCAAAAATATAGTATACTATTTGTCTGTATGATGTCTTAGTATAACAGTGATGTTTATACTATAAATGTCCTGAGTTTCCAAATAAAACTATATGGAGGTTTGGGGTTGGAGGATAGTCCAGTGGGGAGGGTGTTTGCCTTGAGTATGGCTGACCTGGGTTTGATCCCCAGCATCTCAAATGGTCCCCCAAGCACCGCCAGGAGACAACTCCTTAGCCCACAGCTAGGAGCAACCTCTGAAAATTGCAAGGTGTGACTCCAAAAACAAAACAAAACAAAAAAACAAACCAAAACCAAAAAAACTATATGGAGGAATCTTTACAGTTTATGATCACCATCCTTTTCAGTATTTGAAGAGCAAGACAAGAAAATCCAAAAATTTACTCAAGAGATTTGTTGACAGAAGGTAACATCTATCCCTTTCCTTTTTGGTTCAATCACCCAGAGCAACTTTTTAAAAAAGTGGGTTTTGGGGTTTTAAAAAAAGGGTTGTAGAGATGGCATAGGGGTTCAGGTGCTTGCCTTGCATGCAGCAAACAGGGTTTAACCCCTAGTACCACATATATCTTAATCACTATCAACAACTGCCCACCAAAAAACTGAAACAGAAGTGGGAGCGATAGTACAGTGGGGAGGGCATTGGCCTTGCATGCAGCTGACCCGGGTTCGATCCCCAACATCCCATATGGTACCCTGAGCACCATCAGCAGTCATTCCTGAGTGCGGAGCCAGGAGGAACCCCTGAGTATTGCCAGGTGTGTTCGCCCCCCAAAAGCATTTTTAAGTAGCGAAACGCCAAAAGAATGAAAAATTTTCATTTTTCGGACATGAAAAATGTCAAAATTCACAGCTCAGGATTGTTCTCCGTGGCATTGCCAGATTTAAGAGTCTGCTTTTTTTCACCACCCAAACCCAACTTCCAGAAGAGTTCCAAAATCAGGGATTGATGGCAGCCTTTCCAAATCTAGCAATTCTCCCTCGTGCGCCAAGCAACCAAGAAAATAACTATTAAACCAGCATTATCTTTTTATTTAACACAGAAGTAAAAATCTCATTGTTGCCGTTGTGTGTGTGTGTGAGTGTGTGTGTGTGTGTGTGTGTGTGTTTCCCTTCACAACAAATTCTGAAACGAAGACATCTTTCAGTAAGTCCTTCACGCTCACTGGCCTTTCTCTACTGCAAGGCAGTCAACTACTGAGACAAAGAGGGCGTGGGAACCCCCCCGCCGTCCAGGCTAGGAAGGGCCGGACACCTTCACCTGAGACAATATTAAGCAGGTTTCTCTTTCCGCCGAAGCCCAGCACTGAGTGTCCACGGGCTCAGGCCTACAGGTGCTGCCCAGGTACAGTTCTCTGCCACAAATAACACGCACAGGGGCAAATAGGAAATTCACCCACTTTACACGCCTGTAACACAGGGGGGGAGGGGAGAGGGTGGGGGGAGCAGAGAGAGCTGCAAAATAAGGGGGAGGGGTTTTACTCGGGTGCAAATTTCACTCACAAATGACGTTAACATCGCAGGAGATGCCGAAACGACCGTTCCAAAACTCAATGCGCCCGAAGTTGACGGTATTTTACAGCTGCGTGTTACAGAGTTAGCGTTTCTTTCTCAGTTCTGTGGCTTCCCAAGGTAGGAAAAACACAGATACAAATTGCACCCACACCAAAACACAGACCCCCTCCATCAATGCATACACAAACATGCACACATGCACGCACACTCAATCAAACAGTCTTAAAAAGTCAATCAACGTCTGTATGGATGGGGGGGGGGGGTTGCAGGGGGGAGCACTGTCCGTGGGTTGGGCAGGTTCCCATCACAGAAGGGGTGACTCATGACAGAGCACTCAACCGTCATCTGTGACAGCGGCTCCTCATCTGAATGTGAACCACACAACACTCCCGCATGACTAGGGTTCAAGCAGACACCAAGGCAATCCAAGCCTCTCAGACTCAGGATGTAAGTCTGTTGATGGCGCCCATCCAGGGACTTAGGGTCTCCGGGCAGTTTTGGAGAAGGAAGCTTGAATCGCTGAAGCACCAGTCAGTGATGCTGTCGCTCTAAGGTAGCTCTCTGATTTCTCAATTCAGGAAACCCTGAAGACTTCCTGCAGCTGTCCCGGTGCCCTGCTCGCAGGCCCACAAAGCAAGAGGAAAGTGATCAGGAGTTGGAATGGTACCAGGAAGAGTAAAAAGCTGATTTTTCCAAGTAACTACTGGCAGGTGACGACTCAACTGAACACAATTTGGCTAAACTAGTATAGTTTTAGTAGGCATTAACAGAGGTGTTCTGAGAACAAGTACCAAAGACGGGGCCGGAGGGACAGAGTACAGCGGGTAGGGCACTTGCCTTGCACGCCACCAACCTGGATTAATCTACATCCCATCTGGTCCCCTGTGCCCACCAGGAGTGATCCCTGAGCACAGTTGATGGGACCCAAGATCAAAAAACTAAAAAACACTGAAGGCCAAGAGTTGGGCTGAAAGAATAACAAGAGTGCAGGAAGAACAGCTTTCAAGACTGACTCAGTGCAATGGCTGGAACTAACCACAAGTGTGTGTGGGGCTGAGGGTAGGTAAGACAGAGAAGAGACGGCTATGACAATAAGAGCGGGAATGATCACACTGGACAAGACCTGAGGGTAAAAGCAGGTAAAGGGATATTCTCGATAACCTTTCAGTATCAATATTGCAAACCACAATGCCCAAAAGAAGAGCGAGCAAGAAAGAGAGAGAGAGAGAGAGAGAGAGAGAGAGAGAGAGAGAGAGAAGAAGAAGAAAAGCACCTGCATAGAGGCAAGCAGGACTGGGGTGTGGGTGGTGATGGGAGGGAACCTGGGGACCCTGGTGCTGGGAAATGTGCCCTGGTGGAGGGACGGGTGTTGAACACTGGTCGGACTGAAATCCAATCCTGAACAGCTTTGTAAGGGTCTATCTCGCAGTGAGTCAATAAAAATGTTTTAGAAACAATAAAATAAAATTTCTACTTAAAAAATTTAAAAAAAAATCTGACTCAGTGCCTGTCTTCGGGCTGCCCCAGTGTAGGTGGGGTACTCAGAATCGTGGTCCTTCTTCACACAGAGCGTTGGGTCCTTTAATTCTTCCAACAACTCCCACACAGTCATTTTTTTTTTTTTTTGTGGAACTGTTTATCTCTGCAGGAACTTAACTTCCTTCCAACATTTTATTTTGTTTCTGTTTTGGGGCAGTGCTCAGGGCTTGGGATCACTCTGGTGAGGCTGGAAAGCATGTGTGACTGGAGTCTCTCTCCGCCAGCTCCTGCTTTCAAATGGAAGCAAGCTAAGAGCACTCTGAAGCACGGACAGACTATCAGAGAGTTCATCTAAGTTTTCTAGCATCTACGTAAAACGACAGTGTATCCACAAACCAGAGACTTGCTGGAGATCATTTAGATTTACTGTCAGATTTCACCGATGTCAAAATAGATAGGATCAGCTGTCAATCGAATACCAAAAAAGTAAAAGATAACGAAATTAGAATTCATAAAGAAGGGTAAAAGGTAAAGGCCCTCCCGTTGATCGTCGATTTGCTCGAGCGGGCCCAGTAACGTCTCCATTGGAGACTTTGTTGTTACTGTGTCTGGCATATCGAATACTCTCGGTAGCTTGCCGGGCTCTCCGAGAGGGGCGGAG